CAGTGGAAGTCTGTAACACCCGAAGGCAACTATCTACTGGCAGAGACACGATACATCCTATGTACCCAATATACATACATATATGCATGAGCATGTTATAACACATCATCAATGTACATCTCCAACCTTTACCCCCAAGGGGCATGATGGAGCACAAACGGGGATTAACCCCAATACCAAAGGATTACCTTGTTGAAGCTGCCTCTCTAGGTAACTCCAATGCAAGGTACCATTGAGCTTGGTCCAACCAGAAATTCCTACATACATGTTATTCTCATTTCAATTAGAACCACACAACATTGTACACTTGATTATTCAAGCATTCGTGAATCCTTAATCCCATTCAATTATCACTCAACACCAACTTTCCCAAATTTCCTCTTCTAGGCCAATCTCACACTTAGGCCCGTCCAAGGGTTTCAATTCTAATCCTTTTGCATCACAATACATTCAACCTATTTAAACTTAGCTCCAAGCCTCACAACACCAATTACATGAATTTTACATCATCCATCCTTATTTTCCCTCACTTGGCCGAATTCAACAAGCATGCATACCAAGGGATTTTTAATTCATTTTAACACTTTCACACATCATTTAATTCTATAATTAACTCATAAAATTACTCTCCAACTCAATTACACAATCCCACGACACTTCCATTTCACAAAGTCATGCATACAATAATAAAATTGCCTAAGTTATCAAACTTTTCACCAATAATTTTTATGAGCTCAATCAACATAAAACATTATTCTAAGACACTTTTATCTAATACACATTTTCAATTTGAGGTCCCCAACCACATCAATCCATACATGCAAACCCTAGGTTCATGAAAATCAATCCATCAAATTAACCAATGAAAAGTGTGGAAACTTACTTACCCACAATCAAAGCCTGAGACTCCTCCAGACAATACCCAAGCAATGGAGGATCAAACAACTCCAAGAACATCAACTCTCCTCACCAAAACTGTGGAGATGGGTCACCTTTTTCTCCAAATCTAGCGAGTTTCATGGGTTGGGAATACCATGGTTGGGTTTAGAATGCCATTTACTTGAAGATTGGTGTGGAACCTTGTGGATTTTGATGGATGGAAGTGGAAGAACAAAGCTTCACAAAATTCTCCCTTTTTTTAATGAAGCCGCGGGTTTAAAAGAGTTTGTGGAGAAGATGGTGAATAGTGCATGTGTCTTAAGCTCAGTTAAGAGAGGTGGATCCCACCGCCACCTCATGCGATTCAAATTAATTCAAATCTCCCGCTTAATCCACTAAACATCCATTAATTCCTAGACTATTTAAAAACTTAAAATTTTAAAATTCACAGATGTCCTTTAATTTCCCTTGATCAGATGAATCCGGAGTTTTTCGGTCGTTCGGTTAAATAACAGTTTTAAGCTGTTATGTGCTCTGTGGGCACGTTTTCTCAAAAACCCTAATTCCAATCAATTTCAATCAGAAATCATAATTCCTAGTCCTATGTACCATTTATAACTTATTTCCAAATCTAGAGCTCAAAGTTCATTCGGCACGCTTTACGGTGCAATTATACCGCCGTATTTTTACCCGGTGAAAACACTATTAATCAAATTTCCAGAAACTTGCCTAACGACTCCATTTTTCATTCTGAATCCATTTCCAAGGTTATTTTTTTGCATTTGAGACCTTCTACTCAAATTTCCTTTTTTAGGGTTGCATGTTTGGCAAATTACCGTTTTACTATTTTTACGTATTTTGAATCCGAATTCAGGATTCTCACTAATCCTACCCTTTAATTCATATTTTAAATATAATTATATGATTTAGAATCATGAGGTGTCATAAGTTTAGTTGGATCAAAAATTGCATTAATAGGCACTTCTATTCTATAGTTTATCAGAGTAATACAGGACACTTATCAGAGTAACAAAAAGTGACTATCCTGAGTAATTGCTAATGAATAATTTACTCGCGTAACTCTTCGTGATTTACCCGAGTAAATCTGTAATAGAAAGCTAAAATTTAGGATTTCGATCTCCAACGTTGCTATTAAATCCATTAGGCTCCTATATAAACATGGATTGAGGGTTTAAGCACAAATTACACCCAGTTTATATCAGATGACAAATAATTCATAGTGATCATCATTGAAAGGCATTTTGGCATACTTGAGAGACAAGGCTCTTGAATTATTATTATTTTTCATTTCTATTGATTTTCTATTTTTATTGGACTGAGGAAAGGGTGCCTTCAATATGTTTTGATTAAAATTTGTATAGTAAGTTAGTTTTGGTGAAGGGAGAGATCCTATAGGTGTATAGGTTGAGAGATTGAAAAATCCATTGTATTTCAGTCTTTTAGAGATCCTATGGGAGTATACGTTAAGAGATTGAAAAACTCCATTGTATTTCAGTCTTTTAGAGACCGATTGGAAGTCCTAAAGTTAGTGAACATGCGACGATAGTCTTGACGTAGCCCTCGTGAGGTTTGAGGGTGAACCAGGATAAATCACGATGTTTGATCTACTAATCCTTAAACTATTTAATTTTCGCATTTTATTCTTTCTTTCTTTTGCTTTTTAGACTTTGATTCAATAAGGTTTTAAGGGTATATAAGGTTTAGAAATTGTTCTTGATCAAATTCCATTGATTTGATTGATTTTGGGTTAAGCGGCAAAGGCTTTTTGGAAACAAGTTACAACAATTCACCCTTCTTATGAGTATAACCCATTCATTATTAACAAGTCCCTAGAAAGAAAATAACTTCAGGTAGGATATTACTAACCTACCATTGAGACCAACGCCAAAATACATGTCAAAAAGTGTAAGAAGTGCTAAAAGCATTCTAAAATCTACAACACATCACCAGAAGAGCTCACTATAAACACAACACCCTGACCGTTCTACAAGTGGGGAGTGGACATTCTCACCCCTCACCCCTGAAGGGCAGTTGAAGTGGTTGATCATAGCAGTAGACTACTTCATTAAGTGAATTGATGTGGAACCATTAGCTACCATTATGTTTAAGCAATAGAAAAATGTCATGTGTAAAGGTGTAACCTTCCTGAAGAGCTTGGGAGAAACCAATAGTCAGTTGAGGCACCACGACAATCATGATTCAACATCTTATCACCTTGAGCTCGAAGAGCTCGTGCCAACTTTATGGACCAACATAACGGGTCCCACTGGCTCTAGAAGATTAGGGCAAGACTTCTCTAATTCAAAATACAAATCTTGAAATAAAGGGCGTTATCCATTACAAGATTTTTGTCATACCCAAATACTATCACTCTCAGGTAAAGTGGTGAACCGTACCTATATATAAAGGGTTATAGATAGGGGTGGTGTAAATAGGCTAGGTCGAGATATGCTTCAGCTTAAATAAATTAGGCCTGTGTAAAATACTTTAGGTTTGCCTTAGTTTGTTAGCCTTGTGTAGGCCCAAATTATAAGTCTAGTTTGACCTATATTTAAAAATCAAAGCCTTGCTTTCTAAATAGACTTTTTTTTTTGAAGTCTGAGTCTATTTTATTTAATTATATGTAATAGACTGAGTCTGACATGATATAGATCAAACCATAAACTCCTATTAAGCCCGCTGGTCCATTTACAGTTAAAGACCACAAATGCACACTTCATGAACCCTAGCTTTTTACTGGATACACATATCTCACTCCTTAAACTTCAAAGCCTCTGCATATTGCATTAGTGATGGGCCACCCTTGCCACCAACTCCTCTATAGAGATCGCCTGCCACTACATATTGAATAAGATCCACTTGAATCGAACCGTGCCATTACTTCAAGATCTAATGACTTGCATTTATTATACAGTATTCCTTTAATATTTTATAAGAAAAAATGTAAATTTCAACGGTTGAGGGTTTTCTAGTACGATGAAAAGGAGAGGCAATTAAAAATTCTGAACAATACTCATTTGCTAAGAATGCTCTGTTATTATGTGGGCGCACCATCAAGAGAGAAGAGAAAAAATAAAAAGCCAAAAAAGAATCATGAAGTAACATCCACAAAAAGGAGAAGAAATAATTAACAGAAAAACAAATGATCCGCAAATTGAATTTTCGCACTTATCTAATATTTATTTGTTTGTTTTATTCAGTCCAATTAAATGTAGCGGAGGCTTCCACTTTATTTTAGAACCACGAGCGCTTTCGTGTCCCGCAAAACATGGGAAAATCGAAATTCCCTCCTCTCTAACTCATCATATGCCAAATGCCATTCAGCCAAGAGCTTGTAAGTAGTCTGATTTTTTATTTTATTTTAGACAATGGCATGATTCGAATTTAAATTCATAAATCTATATTAAGAAGCTATATATAATTTAACTGTAAATGGTCATTGAATATAGTGACTTTTTTGAACCTTAAAATAATGAGAATCTGTTTTGAATTTTTTTTCCTTGTGATTGATCATACAAAATTCAGGTCACAAATAATGACTAGTAATTTTTTTAAATGATAATTTAAGATCCAAATTGTTTGAGATCATCATCGTCTTTTTACTGTAATTAATTATTTTTGGACAGAATTGTTAGAATCTTTCTTCACATGAATTTTTTTATTTAAAAAAAATCCCAATTTTTTTTGTATCACAATCCTTACAAATCATAAACGTCAATTATATTAATCCTTTAATTACTATACATATTAGTCGTCAAAAATAACTAATATAACTAAAATATGCATCCATCAAAAGTTTTTGTCATAATTAAAATACAGCTTTTGTATTTTCAGAAATTAAGGTATTTGTTGTCATAATTAATGTATCCCTAAAGGAGACAAATTTATAGTTTATTGAAAGAAAAAAAAAAAAAGTAGACATGTTCTACTACTGCTACATCTTAGGCTTTCCCCTAGTCACACAAACCTAGTGGCTGTCAACAAATGAAACCACACTCTTACGATATTTTATTTTCGGCCAATGACATTCTACAACAGTACAAAACATATCATAATATCTTAGTCATTTTCTCAATTGCGTGAACTTGCACTGACACACTCATACAACGCACAACCTTTTATTCTCCGAAGGCGAGTGTCATGCTGTCGGAGCCTCTGCTTGAACCTGGTTTGTTGTCCCCAGTTTCTTTATTTTATTTTATTTTTCACCAGTTATAACTACTTCGAGAAAGTCTCCTTTTATTTTCTTAATTTTTTATTTTATAATTTTTTATTTTTTAGTTTCTGGTTATCTCTGGAGAAATTACAGATTCTACATTATCAAGTTTGCAGAACACTCTGGTGTTGTTGTTGGGTTGCTTTTGTGAATTTTTTTTTTGTCTGAATTTATTATTTATTTTTTTGTTTCCTATGCAACCAGGGATAGTCGTTAGATTCCATTTGCGGCTGCATTGACATTTTTTTTAATTTGGTGTTGTTATAAATTAGTCAAATTCTTGAATTGGGCAAAATGGGAAGCTAGAATTATGAAATATGAATTAGAACTTTTTCTACTTTTTGTTTTTTATTCATCACTTAAATGTGGGGTCTTGTGGAAACTTGGAAATAACATGCAGATGCAGAATTCGTTGGATCTGAGACAAACATTTTGAAACAGGTTAGTGAATCACTGGTGTTTGTGGATATAAGTGAAAGCCTTTTTACTGAAGTAGAAATGAGTTCCTGTTCTTACATAAATAGAGGGGTATTTTGTGTAAAAATACATGGTGAAAAGTAAAGAACAATAACTGAGCTAGCCCTAATATGATGACGTAGTTCTGCAATGAAGACTTGGATTTTACCTTCTTCTGAGACACCTTACAGATCTCCAACTATCTCACGTTGTGGTTTTTCTTTGTTTAGGTAAATTGTGTTTTGTTATCACTTATTAGGACATGAGCCTACAATATCTACCCAAATTCCCCACTTACCAACAATCATAGCTTTGCCATGGTGGCCAACTTCTGCTATATTCTTTATAATTATTGTTGTAGACTTGTAGTTCTTCACTCACTGTGTACAATCGACTCTCATTTTATGCATACCTTTGTGATTTTAGATCTTCCTTCAATTCATATTAGTACAAGAATTGATGATCCCAGGCAGCTCAAATATATAATATAATATTTTTTTTAAGAAGATTTCATTGAGTCAAATTTGTTTACTAAATCAAAAAAAGGTCAGATTAAATCCCATTGTTTCCTAATTTGCTTATGATGCAAACGAGTGATGCTCAACAGCTCAAGCCTAGATAGTCCTGCATATATACCTTTGAGTAGGGATGCTGCACAAGCTTTCCTCGTTATATTAGAAATTGGCATTTTCTATGTGTTAATCGCTCAATGCATGAGTCATTGAGCTGAACCATTGTTAAGTGTACGAGGAGCAAAGCATTGTGTTTTATAGAATCCATGCTTTCCGAAATCATAAATTATCTGATTTAGTTATTCAACTATTTGTTCCAAGGATGAAACTCCCTGTCTGTGTTGTCTCTTGAGAAGAATTGCTTATCTTCGAAGTATACTTTTTTACCGATTTTGGTAGTTTACAAGAGGTTTCAATTTCAAGGGGTTACAAAAGGTTAGTGGTGAGGGATTTGGGTAGTTTATGACAGGTTACAATTTCAATCCTTTTTTTTTTTTTATAAAAAATAAAAAAGTATCACAGCTTTCCAATTTTTTATCCAGCAAATGTCCTACGAGCAATTAATCAATGAGTTCTTGTTGATGATATTGTTACAGCAGAATCTATGGAGGCAGAACCATCAGTTTCCTCAGATTCACTCGGGGGTCAGATTTCCAAATTTACAAATATGGTCACTGAAGCATACAAAAAAAAGCCAATCCCTTATTGGATACTTCTTGTTCTCAGCATCATAGCAATGCTTGTGGCATTTCCTGCGTCCAGCATTCTGTCTCGTGTTTATTATGCTAATGGTGGCCAGAGCAAGTGGATCATATCTTGGGTGGCTGTTGCTGGATGGCCTTTAACTGTCTTAATGTTGTTTCCTTCATACTTCATTGGTAAAACCTTTCCTACCCCTCTGAACTTGAAACTCAGTGTATCTTATATCATTTTGGGTTTCCTAAGTGCTGCTGACAACCTCCTGTATGCTTATGCCTATGCTTACCTCCCTGCATCTACTGCCTCGCTTGTGGCATCTTCATCCCTTGTGTTTTCAGCACTTTTTGGATACCTTCTTGTGAAGAACAATGTAAATGCTTCAATAATAAATGCTATTTTTGTCATTACTGCTGGATTGACCATCATTGCCTTGGATTCAAATTCAGACAGATATGATAATATCAGTGACAAGGAATACATCATGGGACTCGTATGGGATATTTTGGGATCTGCTCTTCATGGGCTTATTTTTGCTCTCTCTGAACTTGTTTTTGTGAAGTTACTGGGAAGAAGATCCTTCATTGTTGTTTTGGAACAGCAAGTCATGGTCTCACTATTTGCATTTCTGTTTACCACTGTAGGGATGATTGTAAGTGGTGATTTTCAAGGAATGGCATCTGAGGCTACCACTTTCAAAGGTGGTAGAGCTGCTTATTATCTTGTTCTCATATGGAGTGCAATCACTTTTCAGTTGGGGGTGCTGGGGGGCACTGCTGTAATTTTCTTGGCTTCTACTGTTCTAGCAGGTGTACTTAATGCAGTAAGAACACCCATAACAAGCATTGCAGCTGTTATCCTCCTACGTGACCCAATGAGTGGTTTCAAGATCCTCTCCCTGGTGATTACCTTTTGGGGATTTGGCTCATATATTTATGGCAGTTCTATGGGTTATAAATCATCATAAGAATGTGGCTCTAGACTCCCGTCCATACATATCCTCTCTTCAAAAGTTCTAAGGTTAAATTGTGAGGCAATAAATGTTATAGGAATGTAATATAAATTATTCATGTAAAATCATTAACGCGACTTTTACCTAATAGCTTCAGTATTTGGGATTATGACATGGTATGATCAAAATGGTCTAGAGTTCAACTCTTGTCATTCCCATTGTTATAAAAAGTTAAATTTTAGCAAAAGATAAGTGGATTTGTATATTGTCAATGCTTCAAGTTCAAAAGATTTTTGTACGAGAAAGCGTGTTAAAGATGTAATATAAAATCATGATGTGTATTTGTTTAATAACTTAAATTTTTAGGAGAGTTGGTTTATGACAATAATATTTGAGTATATTAAAATTGGGAATAGTATTTCTACGGTGATTGTAGGTAAGGTTATTTCCGGTGGCCTCTAAAACTATACCGTTTCATACACATACTTAATAAAAAACATGTAATAATAACAGAAAATCCTTGTTTCTCCCTCATTCTCTTTCTCTCTCAATTGTCATTCCTTTTCATGAATCGATGAAGCCAACATAGCAACACCCACCACTCAGACACAAAAGAAGTTAAACCCATTTTTACATCTCAACCTAACCAATTCGATTCAAATTTGGATCCAAGAAATGAAGGATGACGAATCACTCCTTCTTCTGATTACAAAAAGAGAAACTTCAGATTCGAGCGTGTTGGCTAAATGAGGTATAAATTCGGAGCACTAGCAAACATATTGCTCCTCGCATTGTGGTCCATGTTCCCTGGCACAGTCTTTCTTCGCTTTTCAGGGACCCTCAACACTTTCTCCCACGACCTTCATGTTCCCATGCAATCTTTTTTTATTGTTTAAGCATGAAACAATGTAGTTTTAGGGGTCACCGTAAAAAACTTACCTACAGTAGAAATACTATTTCCATTAAAATTACATTTTTTGGTTTTGAAATCACCATAATAGAGTTTAGTTATCACAAGAAGTAATTTGTTTGTGTTACGAATTTTTAAGTTTGGTAATTGTTTAAAAGGTCAAACTTTTGAATTGAAATAGCTATACTGAGCATTGATGGTTCTCAAAATTTGAGATTCATTTGATTATCTCAATGCTCCTTAAACTTCTCCTTTTGCTGTTAAGATTACTGTTTTCTTCCATGTTTATTCCCCGAAGCACTTAACTGATAAATTGGGATGCAGCAATCAATGAATGTTGATTAGAGTAGTACTGGGAGTATTTTAGTTGATTTTTTTTTTCTCATGAGCTTAACGAGCTAAATTGCTCTTTGCAAGTAACATAAGGCCCAATTAAAGAAGACCAATTCAACAAAGGAAGAAACTTTGTATAACATCTCATATATTTCAAATCCAATATTAAAAGTTTAATTGTGGGTTAGAGGGTTTATTTAGTGAAAATTCTGAAATCCGGGTGAAAATACACATGAAGGGTAAAATGGTAATTTGGCAAATACGTAACCTTAATATGTGAAATGGTAAAATTAGACCTTATTTGATGAAAATAAAACTGAAAATGGATTCAAAATGAAATTTGGAGTGGATAGGCAAGTTTCTGAAAATTTGATGAATAGTGATTTTTATAGGATAAAATACCGCAAAGTAAATTTCACCGTCTAATCCAGAAACGAGATTACTGATCTAGGATTGGATATATGTTGAAAGAGGCATTTAGAATCAAGAAAAATAATTAGTGAAATTATTTGGTGATTTTTGAGGGTTTTTGGGAAAACGTGTCAATAGTGCACAAATTGGGGTAAAATTATAATTTCACCAAATTACAAGGAAACTTTGGATTCATCTGTAAAAGTATATCTAATGGATTTTGATGAATGTTAAAAATTTGTCTTAACAAATTGGAACCCTCTCTCTCTCTCCTGGTAGCAGCCACCACAGCCCCCCCTTCTCCAAATTTCGAAATTCCACCATTATTAGTGGAAAGAAAGGAGCTTGAAACCCTAGGTCCATTTCTAGGCACTTTTAGGCTTAACTTTTGTCATTAAAGTTGTTCATCTCACTCTTGCGATCGACTTTCATCTTGAGTGCATCTTATGGGGAGCTTTGTGTGATGAGTGACTCCTCCTTGAAGGTCACAACCTCATAGTGTAAATGGGTAGCTTTGGAGCTCACTTGGCTTGATTAATTGGTTGAAAACCTATTCCAGGATCATTTGAAGACCATTGGTGGTAAGAATTCCAACTCTCGTTGAATTTTTGTAGAGATCATAAAATAGATGAACTTTTGAATGTGTATGTGGGTTGAGGTAGTTAGAGATATTGGCTAACCATGTGGCTTTTGATGATTATTGCTTGTAATAGTGTCTTGTTGAAGAAAATCAAATAAAATTTTAAGGCCACAAGAATTCTTAACTATGGCAAAATTTTGGTTAGATGAACATAGATTTCTTGTTAAACAAGTTATTGAGGAATGATGTAATTGGATTGTGGATTGTTTAAATCATAAATGGTAAGGTTAGAGGAGTGTGTAATACATGTGAATTGGTTGAAAAATCCTTGGACCCTTGATGAGGAACCCTACGGCCTTGTGTAGGTTTTTATTGATTAATGTTGTTAAATTTTATATGGGCTTGATGGTTGTCATATGAGTGAATGGGTAGCTTGGTAGATGACCTTGAACAAGTGATTAAACCATGGAAAGTGAGAAAAATCCCTTGGACCTCCCTCCTTGCATGTCTCGTATAACACCTCGTATTTCTAAATCATATAATTATATGTAAAATATGGATTAAGGGGTAGGATTAGTGAAAATCCTGAGTTTTGGGTCAAAATACATACGAAGGGTAAAACGATAATTTGCCAAACACGTAACCCTAGGAAAGAAAAATTGAGTAGAATGTCTCAAATGGAAAAACTAACCATGAAAATGGATTCAGAACGAAAAATTGAGTGGTTAGGCAAGTTTCTAAAAAATGATGAATAATGTTTTTACCGGGTAAAAATACTGCGGTACAGCTGCACCGTAAAGCGTGACGAATGAATTTTGAGCTTTAGGTTTGGAAATAAGTTATAAATGGTACATAAGACTAGGAAATATGATTTCTGATGAAAACTAATTGAAATTGGGGTTTTTGGGGAAGCGTACCCACAACGCGTATAACAGCTTAAAACTGTGAACTCTCCGAACGACCGGAAACTCCGGATTCATCTGACCAAGGACAATTAAAGGAAATTGGTTAATGTTATAAATTGGAGTTTCTAATTAATCTAGGAATCAATGGACGTTTAGTGGATTAAGAGGGAGATTCGAATTAATTTAAATCGCGTGAGGTGGCGGTGGGACCCACTCCACTTAAGTGACTTAAGCCACATGTGCTTGGCACTATTCATGCATCACTTTCCTCCCTCATTCTTCATCAAACCTGCAGCCTCTATGAGTGAGTGACCAAGTTTTGCTTCAAATTTTCTTTCCCTCCAAACTCCATCAATACTCACTCAAAATCAACAAAGTCCTACATCAAGCTTTAAGTAAAGGACATTCTAAACACAACCATGGTAGTTTTAAGGCTTGAAACTCATTGATTTGGGAGAAAACCACACCCAAGTCCGCAGCCAAGTGAGGAGATTTGGTGTTTTTGGAGTTGATTGATCCTCCAATGCTTGAGTATTGTGTGTAGGAGTCCTAGGTCTTGCTTGTGAGTAAGTTTCCACACTTTTAATTGGTTGATTCATTGGATTTAAAATTGAAGACCTAGGGCTTGCATGCTTGGATTGATATGGTTAGAGAGCTCAAATTGAAAATATACATTAGATAAAAGTGGCTTAGAATGATGTTTTATAGTGATTAAGCTCATAAAAATTATTGGTGAAAAATATTGGTAACTTAGGTAATTTTGATGTTGGTATGCATGACTTTGTGAAATTGACATGTTGTAGGATTGTGTAATTGAGTTGTGGAATATTTGTATGTATAGGATTGTATGATGTGTGGAAGTGTTGAATTGAATTGAAAACCCTTGAGTATGCATCCATGTAGATTTCAGTCATGTGAAGGGATATAAGGTTGGATGATGTAAAAGTCATGCAATTGGTATTTTGAGGCTTCGAGCTAAGTTTAAATAGGATATGTGTTGGTGTGATGTAGTTGAATTGGAAGAAAAATAATTAGATGTGTGTGTGTGCATTTCAGCCTTAATGAGGTAAATTGGGGAAAATGGTGTTGTGATGGGATTGAATGGAGTTAAGGGATTGAATGGGTGTTGGGTTGAGCTTGTGAAGCCATAGGAACCTTGAAATAAAATTAAGAACATAGTTTATTAATTTTGGGCCATTTGGCCGAACCTATGCATGTGTGTGTGTGGGGGGGGGGGGGGACTTTGGTGCTTTGTATTTTGATTGGTTGCACCATTGTGTTGATGATCTTTGTGTGATCATTGTAGGTTGTCTCCCACAGACGTGAACTTGGAACAGTGAGCTTGGTGGGTTGTCTTTGGTCCTTGACCAAAAGGATTGTGGTAAATATTTATGTAAAAAAATTCATGAATGCTTGAGTAACTTGGTTGATGTGGTTATGTGATTATAATTGATATGGGAATGACCTATATGCAGGCATTTCTTGTTGGATCAAGCTTAGTGGTGTTTTTCTTTGGAGCTACCTAGAGAAGGAGCTTCCGTCAGGTGATCTCTTGGTACTGGGGTTAGTCCCCATGTGTGCTCCACCATGCCCCTTGGGGGTAGTGGTTGGAGGTGTATGTTGATAATATGTTATAACATGCTCATGCATGTATGTATGTATAGTGGGTACATAGGATGTACCGTGTCTCTGGCCAGTAGACTGTTGCCTTCGGGCGTTACGGACTTCCATTGGATAGGTCTTCGTGAGGGAGTTCCAGTTGACCTAGGGTCATGGGGTGTCATTCGTTGAGGAGGACTCTAGGAATGTCTCGGGTGTATATGGATGGAGGGTGCCTTGGTTGATGTTTTGGGAGCACTTCATTGGATGAGAACCCGTAGGCTATATGCCGAGGCCAATAGGCCGGATGTTGCGTGACTTTGGCATCGACCATTCCAGCTTCATCGTATTTTTACTTCCTATGCATCCCTACTTCACTAAATCCCTTGCTTTATCCCTTTTTGGTTGTTGTAATATGTTATTGATTTACATCTGAGTGAGCCATTGGACGGAGTAATCTTCAGAACCTCTGGATTACTGAGATATATTCATATATCTCACCCCATCTTGGGGACTTTATTTCATGT